GGGGGGGGCTTATATTTGGAATGAGGTGAGCGTTTACGGTATACAGTAGAATCACATATTATGTTGTATTGAAAACACTTTTCTTTATTAGCTTTTTATCTTCACTCTTGTATCATCATACTTGCTTTTTACAGTTCCCTTCTCAGATGTTCTTCTCGTAATTCTCCACCGTCCTTCAGTTTCGTTCTGGCCACTAGCTTATCCTGTGTTTCTCAATATTTTGGAACAATCCGGTAATACCTGGAATGAGTACATCGTAAACCTTCTACACCTCATTTTATTTCCCGATCATACTCGAATGCCAGGTTTAGGTGACTTGCAGTATCTACAAACTCTGAAAACAGTGAGAAGTTCCTTGATTCTTTCAGTCTCGTCCATATATTATTAAGTCCATACAGTTCATCCAATGGGCCGAACCACAGTGATCCAATGATAGGAATGCTCTGTTGTCCTTTCGTTGTTTTGTTTCCACTGTTCTCCATGCTATCCAATGGCAATAGACCCTTTGCACTGACGTCACAAATCCTTAGAGTGTCCTCCAGATGCTCCCTAACAATATCTGTTCGGGTACAACAACCACATACAGCGTAAAAACTAACCATTTTAATACAAAATTATAATAAAGTTTTACAAAATTTGCTTTGTTTACAAAAGTTATATTATGCGTAGATTGCTAATTTGTCCTCCAGATGCATCATCACCGGCGCTGTGACGTCATGTGCAATGGGTCTATAACTCACTGTTTTTTATATGTTCAGCAAATTAGCCCATTCAGTTTCTATTGACTCACTCTTATTGATATCTTCATTTTTCTACAAACTAGTATAACTTTGCATGTTATAAGTCTGGTAATCGATATTTTATATTATTTACAGTAAAATACTATATAATGCATAAAAGTATGACAGTTCACCGACTTTTTGGCGATATAGTTTGTCTTAGACAAACAAAGCTGAAGTAATCTGTAATAGACTGTATCGGATTTACAGATATTAAATTGATACACATTCGGTTCTTTTTAATTGTCTTCATGGATTATTATTTAAATATTAATTACATTAGTTTGGATGGTTATAATTCTCAGAGATTCATTGTATAGAGCATTATATCATATATAGTAATAAGCCTAAAAATTAACTTGTAGAGTCGTTATACGTTGGTATAATGGCTGCATGCATGTCTATATTGAATCTGATCTGATACAGCAAATAAATTTAATTTGATTATATTGCCTTCGTGTCTATATTGAATCTGATCTGATACAGCAAATTTAATTTGATCAGAATACAATTAATGAATACAGTAAATTCTTGGAATACAAACAGGTCGGGACATAAAATTAACAATTTGCAGTCGTGCATGGGTGGTCAATAGACACCATTAAGCGTATAATTAAACACCGGATATATAGCTGTATGATGACATGGTGAAACAATAATGAAGTAGTACTACCCCTGGCTAAGCTTTTAAAAAAAACATGTATAACTTATTGCAAATTATGTTATTGAGTGAAGACAATCCTTTGACAAAAAAGATTTCTATATTGACGCAAAGCATGTAAAGTATACTATGCATACAAAGTCTGTAGTCACTACGAAATGTTGCTATGAAAATCAATTAAAGTATAGTTATAATTATTGTAATGTGGCAACATCAATATTTATACAATAGGTAGCTTTCCTTATATGCTTCATGCAGTTCAGTATGCACGGAGGGCATTGAAACAAAAGAATCTCATTTCATTATTTGCCCTCCTTTGTGTTAAAATTTATTAAGGGATTAATACTATTAGCAAGCGCTATTACCACCCTAGCTTCTCCCGCCCCCCCTCTCTAATAGCGCAGATCTCTATTACCAAAAATCAACGCAGAGTTATTTCAAAAGTATGCCTATTTGGAGCACTACGACAAGCACTATCCACCGGCCAGGAATAGACGTTACTGAATTTTTACGTTTTCCCTTTAAAATATTCACCTTTGGATCATTAAAGGTAACATACAGTGTACTCCTAATATTCACGTGAAAATCTGCAAGAAATCTTTAGTTTTCGACATTTTGTTAAATTGTTCCTATGTTTTGTTCCGCCATATTTTTTAAATATAATTCATGCTAAGCGCGTGGTTTCCATTCTGTAATATTCCACGGTAGATCTGCCGTGGCATATCATGCATATTATAGTTTCCCATGCTGCATTGCGTAATCATGGATTTGAAAAAATACCGTAAAAAATCACAGCACGTGGTACAAGTGCTGTTTTTTGATTGGACAATTTGAATTTGAGGTATAATATACAGCATATGAAAATGCCATTAGAAATTTATCCTACCTTTCTGTATGGCAACTTCGACTCTCTTCCAGGTGACTTATAGAGCTGTTTCGAGTAACCACATACATATAGTAGAGGATAATCTACCTCCAGGGAGTGACATATAAATCAATGGGTCCGGCAACCATGGTTACATGCACACGCGAGTTTCATGATTCGGACAGCACCCTCCACGAAACTCGCTTCACATTTTAACATCGCTTCGATACTGACGAACTGCAGGAATGAGACATCTTTGGCAAGAAATGACGCCGCAATCTCGTGTATTACTACTTTGTCGTCTTTACGGCACTATACAAAAAGAACAGGGTCGATTTAGCTCCTTGAAAGGAATCATTTTTAGTGCAGAATAAAACTGTAAAAAGAGCTGTTTAACGTCTCGTTTTCATCACGTTCTTTTTTAGCCAATTTAAAATGTATAGTAATTGTGCATTGAACGTGCGAATCAAGTCTCGATACCATATCAAATCAAGTATTACACTTACCAGTAATCATATATACTTAGCCTACACGGCTATAACGATCAGGTTGTTGCAATATTGACGAAAACAGGATTGAACAATGTTTTTCTGCCCACATTGTTCACAGTTGTCAACAATATTGAACAATATTGTTACATCCGATTCAGGCTCAACAATATTGTTCGATATTGTTGACAGGTGTGAACAACGTGGGCAGCAAAACATTGTTCAATCCTGTTAAACAGCGGGCTCAGCGTTTTTACGACTATTTACCGTCGCTTGCGACTAAGGATGAACGGTCGCTGATAAAAACATTGCCCATTGGCGTGACTGAAAGTTCAATGATTTTACCGGGAAAGTTCAATGTTTGTCAAGAGCACTTTAACAGGTTTAAATCTGATCAGCCAATCACGTTCAACCAGCTCCAAGTTGATTGGCTGAGCGAATTGAAACAATCATATGTCGTCACAAACATTGAACTTTGTCGGTAAAGACATTGAACTTCGTCGGTAAAAACATTGAACTTTGTCATGAGAATAGACAATGTTTTATCTGCGACCGTTTATCCTTAGTTGCAAGCGACGGTAATCTTTACAATAATTGTGATTACTACTTTCTTAACTGCATGTGTTTATCCTAACCCACCCTGTCAACTTTCCCTGTGGAAGAATACTGGAGCACCCGGAGAAAACATACTACTTTCA